ATCCCGTTGCCGGTCCCGGTCCGGTACGGGTGTGACACTGAGGGTTGCGATCCATTGCTGGTCACAAAAAAAAAAAAAGAAGACAAAAAAGAAAAAATGTTCTAACAGTAGGACAACTTTGAAAACACCTCAGATTTTTCAGCCAGAAATGAGAGTGTGTCACAGTGGGTAAGAATTTCTATGGTGTGGAGAAATAAAACACGGCACAGCCTAAGCACTGAGGGATCTAGACAAAGGCAGAGTAATGTCAGAAGAACAAATCCTTGTCATTTGTAAAAGAAAATAATCACCATTTTATCAACAGAAGAAGGAGCCCTTGAACTGAGGAACTGGAAAGGCTACCTGATATACTCCCCCAACCCATTGACGGTAAGATTTCCCAGCTAATAATTGATCAAGAATATCATAGTCCAATGTAATCTCCCATTAAAATAGATTGAAAAGTGGACAAAAATAAGTAGGATATAGTCAAATCCACAATCATGAGAAGGTTTTACACATATTTCTCTATAACTGATAGAAGAATCAACTTAAAAGTCAATAAGGATATAAACACTCAAGCAAGATAATTTACAAATTTGATTAACATATATAGAACACTGAACCCAACAAGAAAATAATTCACATTGTTTTTAAGTGTGCATTGAACATTTACAAAATCAAGCATGGGCTGAGTCTTAAAAAAAAGACTTCAAAAATTTTAAAATATTGAGGTATTCAAAGAATGTCCTTTGACAACAGTGGAATCAGAAAACATTTTAAAAAGGTATTTAGAAATGCACTAAATGTTTCAAAATAAGCAATACACACCTAAATAACTTATGGATAAAAGGGGAAATTCAAATAGAAATTAGAAGTAGTCTAAATCAAATGATAATGAAGACATGATGTCAAAACTTTTAACATAACATTAAAGGAATAAACAAAAGGAAATTGCAGGCCTTTAATTCACGTTAGTAAAGAAGAAATATTGAAAACCAATAATCTAAACTTTCATTTCAAGAAGCTAAATGAATGAATGAATGAGAAATAAAATCAGCAACTGAAACCTAAGGAATGTAGAAGGAAAAAATAATGAAAATAGTAACAGAAATCATTAGAATAGAAAATAGAAGTGCAATGAAGAAAAATCAACAAAGTCAAAATTTAGTTATTTGAAAAGGCAAATGACAGTAATAAACTCATAATACTGTTAAAAGAGAAAGAAAATGCAAATCACCATTTTAAAAGATAATATCTCTACAGACCTATCAATGTCAAAATTATAAGAGGTCATTATGAACAACTGTGTGCCAAAGAATTTGACAATTTAGGTGAAATTTACAAATTACTTCAAACCAAAAGTAAATTATAAATACTGACAGTAAAAGAGAGAATATTTGAATAGTTTGATATCTATGTAGGAAACCAGAGCTATTATTTAAAATCTTTCTCTAAAGGAAACACCAAGTCCAGATTTCACGTGTAAATTCTACTAAATAATTAACAAAGAAATGATTGAAACTTACACAAATTCTTCCAACAAAATAAAAAGGGAGCACCTCTCAATTTCTTTTATAAGGCTACCATAACCCTGATACCAACACTAGAAAAAGGACTTACCAGAAAAAGAAATGCAGCCTAATCTGTCTCATGAACATAAATACAAAAATCCTGAAAAAAATATGAAGGAAAACAAGCAATATCTAAAAGAAAAACTAAATCACAACTAAATAAAGTTTATTTCAGGATGTAAGGGTAATTTAACATTTAGAAGTTAATTAATACAATAGCCATATGGGAAGAAGAAAAGGTGAAATAACAGATGCAGTAAAAGCATTTGATTCTATTAGGCAGCCATTAATGATATAATAAAATAACAAACCACACATACAAGGGGAATCACTTTATTTGATAAAAAGGAACTAAAACCACTGTAAGAAAAGATCATACTTAATGGAGAAATATGGAAAGTTTCAGATCAGGAATGAGACAAGGGTTTCTTTTACCATTACTTGTTTGACTATTGTCCTGGAAATTCTAGCCAGCAGTGTAAAGAAGGGAAATATAAATAAAAGACTTTAAAATTATAAAGGAAGAAATAAAACTGTCATTGTTTCACAGATGATATGTCTGTGTAGAAGACTTCTGAGATATGAGGACATTAAACAGAAATTAATTATATTTTATATGTTAGCAGCAATCAAATAAAAATAAAATTTTAAATAATATCTTTAACAGCATCAAAAAGCAACAAATTCATCGGAGTACATCCAAAGAAAGATATATAAGACCTCTATACTGAAAACTACAAAACATTCTGAAAACTACAAAACATAAAGAATATGTAAATAGAGGAATATAGTGTATTCATGGACTGAGAGTTACAATATACTAAAGACATAAATTCTCCTAACATTAATTGAAAGAGTCAATGTAATCCCAATGAAAATCCCGGATTTCTAAGAAGTACCTGTAAAATTGGCAAGCTGATTCTAAAAGTTACATGGAAATTCAAAGAACCAAGAATAGCTAAAGCAGTCTTGCAGTAGAAAAACAAAGTAGGGGGTGAGAAGAAGGCATATGCCATTAGATATCAAGATCTAACATAAGGTTAAAATAAGCAAGGCGGTGTGGTATTAGTACAATGATTGGCAAATGGACTAATGACAATGTAGCAGGAAGTCCGAAAGCAAACACATACATATGGTCATATGATTTATGGCAAAAAGATGTTCTTTTCAGTATATGGTGCTGGGTCAATCAGACACCCAAATGGGAAAAACATTTCTTGAACTCTCCCTCACACCATACACAAAAATCAATTCTAGTTCAATTGCAGAACAAAACGTAAAATGTAAAACAATACAGTTTAAAAAAGAAAACATAAGGGAACATTTTGATTACCTTCAAAACAGACAAAAATAAGAAGAGACGACCATGAAGAAAAAAATGATCAATCAAATTATTTTAAAATGAATAGCTCTTTATTAAGAGGCCTCATTAAGAGAGTAAAAAGGCAATGCACAGGATAGGAGAGGGCATTTAGGATACCTAAAGTCAACAAAGGACTAGTATCTGGAATACATAAGAGAACTTCCATAAATTAAAAAGAAAAAGAACAATGATTCAATAGAAAAAAAAAAGATTGGGTGGTAAAAGTCTTCAATATGCACTTCACAAAAGAGTATACAAAAATTGCAAATTAACACATGAAAATATGTTCAAATTCCTTAGAAAGTTGTCAGGAAATATAAAATAAAACCACAATGCAGTGTCACTACAAAACTACCAGACAGTTAAAATTTTAAAAGATGGAAAATGCCAAGTGTTGAC